AAACCTGCAATATGTCCAAGGTCTGCCTAGAGAAGGGAACAAGGCCACGTTTTCTGAAGCAAGAGGATAAAGGAGGACATAGATGAACTAGAGGTTAAATTTATAGGGTTATCTCACCAGATAGTTTATAATTTCTCAGCACAACAGGAGAAAGATGCCCACGTAGGGATGGAGGGGTTAGGAATAAAGAATAATTTATGTTCCTGGAGAATTCCATTATTGGAAATGTAGGCCCTGGTGATGTCAGAAACTTCTCTATGCTGCTTAGGGTTCAATAAAAAAAAATGTAGAGCAGTTCAACAAAACAGAATTGTAACAAAAATACAAAGATGTAGAAAAGTAGAACGTAATATCCAGAGGGGAAAACCAATAAAGGTAAGAAAGTCTGCAGATGAGGCGCAGTGGTAAATACGCCCGCACTTTATTTGGCTAACCTGGTTTCTATAAGTAGTATTCTCACAGGTGCATCACACAAAGTAATTATTCTACTTCTTTTGACACCTGTTAACTACACACCCCACTGGTCTCTATGGGGAACTCTAACCATAATAAAAGACAAAACGGCACAAGGATAAAGGGGTGGAACAGCTCAGAGAAGTCCCCACTGATGGGAACTGTGTTAGCAAATACACAGAGCTGGGGTCTGAAGGCCTGAAAAGGAGAAAAAAAGGCTTCCCCTTTATTCAACAGCATAAACAGAACTGCCACATCCCAGGGGCTGCATCTCAGCAGAGTATTTTGAAGAGGGAAAGAGGTATAAATGAGCAGTGCTTGAAGCACAAAAAGGACTAGAAGTACTCATCTCCTTAGTAGGAGACCATTGAGAAATAGGACAGATCAACATTGACCATTTTGCAGGGGATACCCGTATGATAACTGTTTATTCTTGTATGCACCTAGATATCGAAAGGATTCCTATTGCTGTTCACAAAGCAGCCAACTCAAAAACCTTTTACACATTCAAAATAGCTTTAAAAATGCTTTGTATTTTGAGGAGGTCGGAGTGCTTCACCCATGAAGGTACATCTTGAATGCTGGCAGGGGAAAGAACCCTTTGCAGGTGGAAGATGTGAGGCTGAAGGAGGTGAAGTGACTCTAACAACCACCCCGGGAAGAATACCAGGCACCACCAAGGGTTGGACGCCTCAGACCTGAAAAGATTCTTTAACTGCGCATAAAAGAGAATCTGAAAGGCTGTCTGGGAGCGTACACCTGGGCCCAGCGAGCTTCCTCATCAGCATGCTAAGCCTGGCCTCTGAGAGCCGGGGAGAGAAATCTCACAAGCACAGGAAAATAGACAAATCTCTCTCCTTCAAGCCTAATCTGGATGATTTAAATCTATCGCCCTTAATGCCTCTCAGGTGTTCTAACCATCTTATGCCTGTTTAAGAGCTCTTCTGCGGGGAGTTAACACTAGCAGCTTCTTTTCTGATTAAACACATCTGCCACAAAATAGCAGGTACCTTCTGGACACAATGCGATTCGTAGATCTTCGAATAGAAAATTTGCCAAAGTTTTTTTTTTTTTTTTTTTTTTTTTTTTTTTTTTTTTTTTTTGCATGCTGGTAGTTTGAAGCATATCGTCAGTGTGTTAGACTTTGGAGAAACTGGGGGCAAAGTTTGCTTAGTACATAAACAAAGGCAATCAGAAAATGTTGACATAGTGAAATTACTGGCTACAACATAAATTAAAAAATACTAAACTACCAAGGCGAAAGGTTACATTTCCAAAGAAAGTAAAAATTATGGCTCTCGTCACTGCCAAAGTGAGCACATGGTTTGAGATTTTATTAAACTCATTAAAGAGGAAAATGATGTCACCACCAGTTCAAAAGAGGATCTCAACAGCAGGCATAGTTATAGAACCAGAAGAGTAAAACATGAATGTGTAAATGGAAGGCAAAACTCACCGTTCCCACAGTAGCTAGGGACATCACCTGAAACTGTGCGACAAGATTTACATGTTTACAGCAAGAATGATCTTTGTATCACTGTCAGTTTACAGAGCTCTACACCAACTCTGTAGACAAGGAATGAGATCGTCCCAAACAGTGTGCTATTGGCGATGCATCGTTTTCCACGGAAATTTCTTCACCTCCACAGACCACTGACAATCTTATTGATTGCTATCTTCCCCAAACCTGGTACAGGGTAGAGGTTTCATAATTACTTGCTAAATGGATAAATGTCCGTTATGCACTAAGCTAGGGCCTTCACATGCATCATCCCATTTAATTTTCTCAGTAACACTGTGAGATAAATATCATTGTCATTTCCCTGATGAGAGACTTGTGTGACATTGCACAGTTATTATGTGTCCAAGGTTGGGGGGGTGGAGGACAAGGTGGAAGGGTCTGACCCAGCATGTTATTTTTATTTACATCCACTATATCATTTGCCTCGAAATTAAGAGACTGTTTATACGTCACATTGATATACCGCACCTCCTTGATGAGGATGATACTGGAGATCCTGGCTATCAGGAGGACAAGGGAACAGCATTACTCAGGAGAATCTAAGCCTATGTAAGAGACACATGAGCATCTCTCTTGCAGCCTTGCAGACAAGCACAGCATAGTTACCAGCCTGGATTATCTCCCTTCCCTACGTAGGTGCTCATTTCCCACTTTCCATGAGAATAAAGATTGATGGATTCAACACTGTTTCTATGGGTTGTTGATTTTCATAGAAGTCAGGACAGCACCTCAGAAAACAGCAGCAGCTGACATTTATTGCATGCTTACAATGACGGGGAACCGCTGTCCCAGCAACACTGTCAGGTGGAGACGATCCTCATCCCCTTTTTATAGTCAGAGAAAGCCACAGTGCATCCGGTAACCTTCACAACATCACAGAGTTTGGTCGCAGCACCCACTGCGCTGATCTGTCCCTAAGTCACTCTATGTTTGCACAGGCTGCGGAAGTGGGCTTTGTCAACATGTCCTGACATTTTATTAGCCTCTCTGCTTTGTGGATGATAGCCTCAAAGGGCACTAGGCTTCTCTCAGCTTCCAGAGAGCTGGTAACTGCAGGCTGGCCCAAGTTCTGAGAGCTAATTCGGGGCACTTGGCACTTGTGATCACTTGGGCATGTTACATTCTATCTTGGCCCAGAGAACAGGAGAGGGGAGTGGTCTTCTGAGGCCTCCAATAGGGGAGTGTCAAAAAGAAGTGGACCGAATATTCATCTAAAGTCATTACCTCTGATCCCTAAAGTCCCCAAATACGTCCCTTTCTTTTCTTGCCAGAAAAGGGCTTAGAATGAAGTCATGGTATGTTTTTAGACACGTCTTGATGAAACGTGACCTAAATAATAGCTCAATGCCAGCATGAAAAAGGTGTCAATAAATGGCTATACTTATATTATCGCATTTCATTTTCACAATGATACCATGAGGCAGGTACTATTAGTGCCTCCATTTTCGGGATGAGGATGTGGGGTTAAAGAACTTGCTCAGGATCCTTGCCAGGTCTTGCCCAAGGACCAAAGGACACTGCCGGCAGTGTTCCACAGAGACCCCGGGTGCCTCAGAAAAGAACAGGATGGCTGTTTGAAATACCATTCTCTGCCCCACACCCTCTTTCCTCCTGTCACTCAGCAGAAAGGCTTGGGAAGAGGGACCATTTGCTCCACGCGCATTGAAGCATGAGATCTTCATTTCCGAGGAGAAATATGATCATTCTCTTCAAACCATTATAAATGCTTACCCTTCCCTCAAGGGTACCTCATAATTCTCACCCTTAATGAAAGAGAACACTACTCTCAAATAAGATCACGGAAAAGGCTTCGCCCTGGCCATCACAGGCATTAAGAAACATTAGCGGACATTACCTGATGAAGGCTACCATAATCAGCCAAATGGTTCCTAAGTGACGGATCGCTTTTAGGGGTGGAACAGCTGACCTTACACAGGATTTTCTTATGTTCTTAAAGGAGGGAACTGAGAAATATAATCTAACACCTGAATTCTAAGCAAAGTTCCACCTCTGTCCTCAGGATTTCAGGGATGTTATCCAAATGGGCCATTACCAACAGTTGAGGGGAGAGAGGAAGTGAATCAAGGACCTTTTTAATGCTTAAGTTGGGAGGTATTTTATGCTCTGTTAACTCAGCTTGAGCTACTCTTGGGCGTGTTCCTTATATACTTACACATTATCCACTTGTCACCAGGACTCCATGATAATCTAGCTTAGCGATTTTAAACCTCAGGGTTGTTCCAACTCTAGTTTTCTATACAATTTGAACATATAAAACAGACAAGGGAGCTGCTTTGGGTGACATGCGCACCTCTACCCACAGCACACTCCTATCCCCTGGGCTGCCTGGAGTGTATCTAAGGACCCAAGGGGCACATTTCAAAACCACCCATTAAGTCCTGCCTTATGGAAGGTAGGATCTGTCCTAGTTCTCTAAGTTACAGGGCAAACACTGAACTGCAAAATTAAATACCTTCTGCTTAATGCACCCCTTTCCAAAGTAACAGGAGTAAATAGAAACTATAGAGAAAGGTTAGATTTCAGAAGATAGTGAGGAAGAGTTTGTAAAGAGGCTGGGCAGTTAGAGCATTAAGCTTTAACAAAGTCTTAAATTGTGCTTTGAAGGTATTCATCTCAGGGGTAGTGAGTTAGTAATATTCTATTTACTTCAGAATTTTCCTATTTAGAATATTTACTGATTGATCCTGTAATCAAATTGATTTGATAGCCTTCTTCCCTTTCTTTTCTCTAGGATTGCTTTTATTTTTCTCTAAAATCCCTGAGTCCCTTACCCTGATTTCCACATATTTTTATATTGGACACGTGAAATCCATGCTTCTCTACAACAATGTCGTATGCTTGCTAAGTGGCATGGCTCACTGGGATCTGGAGTTGACTACTCCCTTTTAAAGGAAACCCAAGCCAGAAAATTGCAGCACGAAGATGCTGTCTCATTGCAAGGGTATGAGAAAGGCCATCGCGAAGGGGAGAGGGCATGAAATATTCTGGAAGCCGCATACTTTACCAGTTATGTCATGCTGTTTGAATGACTCGCTGTAGATCTGGTACTGATTCGGACAATGTTTCTTCAACCACTTGCAGACATCCTGCTGAGTCCACAGAGCCACTGGTTTTGACAGCTTCACCGTAGATGACTATAAATAGAGAAGGAAAAGCAGGTCTGTTAAAGCCAGCTCGTGCCTAGAAAGGCACTACTATTAGGAGTCCTGACTGCAGTCAAGGCTGCTGGCTCGAGTCCCCAGACATAAATACCTGGCCCTTGTCCTCCTAACTTTAGCAGACCTTCTCCACACCCCTGGAAACCAGAAAGAAAAGCTCTGGGCGGGAAGCCCATCTATCCTCAAGTTATCGTCTCGATTGGGAAAAATCCCCAAGAAGCAGTGTTTTCTGATGAATGCTCCAACAACAAGGCAATGGTGTTGCTAAGCAATTAATTAAACTTTAGGGGGGGAAATAGCTGCCCCAAGTGGTCTTTCTCTGTATTCCAAGAAAGTGCCCACCGTTTGTCCTCTGGTATCTCCAGGGCCTCGTACAACACTGGTCCTGGCAGATGCTAATAATTATTTCTAAAATGAATGTTGCAGGAATACTGCATACTAAAAAAGTGCAGGTTGGTCTGGCAGCTTTGCACTGAAGGTGGTTCTATAAAGTCTAGGAACATTAGTTATGCCACAGTGAGGAAGCACGAAGTCAATTCTGCCAGCATGTGGGGAAAGGTAATAAGGTACTGGGAGCAGCTAGAGCTTCTGTAGAAGCCAACTAGCGAAGACCCTTTTCTGCTCACTGGACCTTTCAAGGAGGTGTTTAGAAAACCAAAGCAAGCAGAGGTACAAGGACCCCCAGCCTTTGACCGATGGTGGGTTACAAATACATTTGTAAATTACCAGCAATTAACTGTGCTAGACACTGGTCCTCCTCATGGTTCCCAGGATCTTGCTTGAACCTATATAAATGCTTAACTACTAATTTCAGAGAGGAAGGAAGAGGGAGAGAGAGATAGAAATATAATCATTGATCGGCTGCCTTCTGGACACACCTACTGAGGATCAAGCACACAACTGAGGCATGTGCCCTGACTGGCAATTGAACCGTGAGCTCCTGGTTTATAAGTCGATGCTTAACCACTGAGCTATGCCAGCCGGCCAGCTATCTATTATTTTTATCCCTCGGATCAGTGTTTGCCAACAAAGTAGGATTATAATATTGATAGTTCTTTAAAAGCTGTTGGGAGGCACACAGACCTGGCCATAAATATCACTGACCTTCTCACTGGGGATCATTTGCTTTCACTTCTCTTTCAATCTTTCAGAGTAAGTCAAGGGGAGAGCCTCAATTTTGTCTGAGTGTGATTTAACACCTTTCTAACACCTGCCAGAGTGTGTTTTGACAAAGAGAGGCGTCCCTTCAGCCTCAGCTCCTTCAACAGACATCAGTCTATTTAGTATCTATTAACTGTTCTATTTTACCTTTATTATATCTAAGGTTGCTTTTATTTTATGGCAAATAAATCATGGCAAAAATAAATCTTATTTTGGTAGTACTGTCTATTAATAGTTTGCTCTTAAAACAAACTTGAGTAGGTCAATTTTAAGGAAAAAAAAAGTAAGGGCACAACAGTACAAATAATAAGATAACAGTAAAAATAGTGGGCAAATTTAGAAAACAGTGCTCAAGTGTTAGCTTTCATCAATATCTTTTCAGTTGTATGAATCTTTGTGCCATCATTTATGAAGTAATCACAAAAATGCATCACTTTTTATTTTGAGCTGTGGCAATTTTTCTTCCACTCTTATTAAATGTGATAGATTTTATATATGAACACATATATGCACATTTATATACATATATACCTATCTGCTTTTCATTTATCATAACTAGCTTTCCTCCACTAGTATTTGGGATTGATTTTCTCTCCCTTCAAATTTCTCCAGGGTCCGTGACTATGCTGACCAATCGAGTTCAGCAGAATTCATATCTGTGTTTGTGAGGGTAGGTGACTAAAACAGACACGGTCTCTGTGTGGCTCTCCCTCTCCAGCTCCCTTCTTTGGAATCCAGCCACCATATTGTGAGGAAGCCCAGACCACATGAAGAGACTACGTGTAGGAGTTTGGGCCAATCACCCAGCTAACGTCACAGCTGACAGCAACTACCAACACCATTCCTCAGACAAGTGTGCAAACAAACTTTAGATGATTCCAACCGCCAGCCTTTGAATCTTCCCCCCGAAAGTCCCCAGACACCATGATGCAGAGACAAGCTGTCCCTGCTGAGCCCTAAGTGAATTCCGGACCCATATAATCCATGAGCATCATAAACAGTTGTCTTCCTCCACTAAATCTTGGGGTAATTTGTTTTGCTACCCTAGTAACTAGAATATTAAGTTATATGCTCAGGGAGGATAGAATTGTTACACTAGCTCTCCGGAGTGCCCTGAATTTAATAGGTGCTTACACAGCCACAATGAATAAGTGAATGAATTAATGACAGGAAACTGTTCTCACTGAGTCTGGGTTCACAGACCTACTGGTGATTTGTTCAGCCGTGAGTTTCAAGCCCAGCCCTTGCTGCCCTCCACGGACCTGTGTTGTGCTCATGTGGCTCTTAGGCAAATGTGGCCTCTTCCTTCGACCTTCCATCCCTGAGTCAGATGCTGCCTGACATCTGCCCTCTGCTTTCCTGATTTTGATGACAGGGGAGGACCTCTGGCATGGCTGATACAGATGAGTAAATGTTTTGTTGTTGTTCAATTTTTCCATTTGCCGGTCATCGCCTCCTTTCCTTTGCATGATTAGGGCACTAAACTTTTGGCTCCTTTAGCTAGAAATGCACTTACCACCACGTTTCACAAGTCAGCACCTCTGAATCTGGCCCTTTCCTGCTCTAAAAATTTCCTTCAGATGAGCTGAATGAGTTCATAGCTGACACATCATTACCCTGCAACCCCTTGCAAGTTTCCTGCAAGTCAAGCTAATCACATCTCTTGAAAACTCCTTAAACCAGACCCGGAAGGCTGTAAATTAGGAAAGGAAAGGCAAGAGAAGAAAGCTGCTTATACAACAATATACTAAACGTCCTGGAGGGTCATTCTTTAACTTGCTTATTTCCTAGGAGCAGGGCACCCTCACACCCAGACAAGCCCATGCACCTGCAGGCTCAGGAGGAGATGAGCTCAAACATGCCCGGTCATCTCAGAACGCAACCTGACAGGCCCCCAGGTTTGCTCTCGTTATAAAATTTCCCTTTATCCCAAATCCAGGTGTTCTAACACTTAAAAAGCGGGGTAATTTTTCCTTCAGAATATATTCTTGCTACGTGGTCACTTGGTTACCACTCGCTTGGATGGCAAGAGACACAGAGCTTTAGACATAGATTTTTAAGACTGTGGAAACTACAGGGATACGCCTCCACATAAACTGCTAGAGCAAATAACATGGGGAGGAGTAAAGATTTCTACTATGAATAAGCACTGCTCATCTCTCCTCAACCAGACAGTGATAGATTGGCCCCATTTCTGAGCCGATTCTTTGCCGTGGCTTTATATGGAATTGGTGTCAGTTTGCTCCACATTAAGAGCCACGGTGACTCCAGCTGCCCTAGTCTGGATCCTCAGCGCAGACTCATTTGTTCTGCCTGAACTACTTCTTGTAGCCCCCCAGGGACCCTCAGGACTTCTCCAGGCTATCAGGATGCCCCATCCCCAACAAAAAACAAGTCTGGGGGAGTGAATGTTATAATCTGATTCCTTTAAAAAGCTTACCCTTTATTTCTATGTGCAATTTGAAACACCAAGCATTTGTTCAACTCACATCAATCTATGTTTTACACTGTCCCACTGGGCGGTGCAGAGCAGTCAAATCTCAACAGTTCCATTGTTACTTGAACTTTTATTTGAACCTTTCCTTGCCACCCAATACTTACACCTCTCTCTACACCCAGTGGATGATAATTTTGTCTGATCTGCCTTGTCCCCCCTACCCCCACCTCACACTAGGAGCCTAAACCAAAATAATAATAGTATAAAACAAAGAAATAGTATTACATATTTATTAGAAACAATAAACTAATTTTATAAAAGTTCTGTCCTTAGGCAAACATTAAAAAACATTTGTCCCAGTTTTCCCCCCATGTTCAGTCTACTACAGCATTCTCTGCATTGACAGCTCCGGAGGCAATTTTGGTTGCTTTTGCTGCCCTGAGAGAGGCCGGAGGCAGTGTGTTGTTTTAACCTGGATGCATCTGACACCAAGCAGAACTCAGGGATTTCCTTTCAGAGTCCGTCTGGCCTTTCTACAGACAAGCTGAAAATCTATTTTACACAAAGACCTCACTTTATACAAAAGACACATCTTTGTTTACAAATTACTTTTTTTTCTTTTGCAAATGATTCCATTTTAGACAATAATTTCAGCTGTGCTTTATGGTAATTTCTGATTTGTATTTAACTGGAAAGAACTCTTAAATTTTAAGTTCTTTGAGATAAACCTGAAGCTTTTCTGCTAATAAAATAAATGCTGGGGGGGGGGACACAATGGTAAGATATGTACACATATAATACCTTAATAAAAAAAAAGGAAAAAAAGAAGTTTGCTATGGAAAGAATATACACAAGACACTTTTAGAAGCTGAATTTTGAAACCCAATTACCCCTTATCTGTTTTGCAATATAAATTCCCTTTTAATTTATTGGGTTTTGAATTATAAAAGAACACTGCAATTTTAAGCTTCCGATGGCTGTCCAAATTAACTGGGTAAGCATACATGAGGCCCAGTGGGTTGATTGTGGAAAAAATAGAGAAAGCATAGAGTGTTTATACCCTCTAGAAGGACAAAGCTTTATGGCCAAATATCAGAAGTGGTAAACATATTTGCAGTGTCTCATTTATAAGCAAGAATCATTTATCAGCTGCCTCCTGCACACCCCCTACTGGGGATTGAGCCCACAACCAGGGCATGTGCCCTGACATGGAATGGAACCGTGACCTCCTGGTTCATAGGCTGGCCGGGCACACTGTGTAATCTTACTTAAGATTGTAAAAAGGAAGGAGACTAGAGGGGAAGGGAGTGAGGGAAGAACAAACAATAACCTATCAATGTTTATTTTAGCAGGTTTTGATGGACTCTGTGTGTGTGTG